ACTACTGGTTTGCAAAACAACCTCTGTCGTAAGAAGAACCAGCAAGAAACCTAGCGGGACTTTTTTTTACAAAAAGGTAAATTATATAGTATGAAAAGTTACAAACTATTTACGAAATTTATTTTAGAGACCGCTTGGAAGCAACCATCACATTCCCCGGGGTTATTATCAAATACGTATTCATTTATATTATAATAACTCTTTTTATGCAGTTTTTGTTTAGTAAAATATTTAAATTTGGTAATAGAGAGACCTTGTATATTTTATGGGACTTTGTTGTAATAGCGTATACATTGGCCTAAGAATGAATTACTGACTCTGTGGAGTCGTCTTTTTTTACTGGAACTACTTTTGTTTTTGTGAACATACTCGTACATTAAATTTTCGTAAATATACTGAGAGACCAAAGTAAATATATTTATTTCCTTAAATTTTTCTCTGACGGAATCTCTCAGTATATGAGAATATAGTGGGATGGAATGACCGGATAGGGGCGGTATAAGAATATTCACTACCGCATATCAACAGGGTTGACACTCACCCTCTTATGACTAAGAGGTGACAGAAAGAAATAAATCCACGAGATGGACAACAGCCTCTTCTTTGAACCAATTTAAAAAATAAAATACTGTTATTGTCAATCCACTTGTCAAATGTGGCAACTACAGCAAATATTCCCTTATGAGGCAATCCATGGGAGAGGCGTATTTTCATCAGTGGACTTTTTTATATGCTGTAATGGTATGGTATAATATATGTGGGGAAGGTGGGATAACATAATATTTTGTAACATTATTATGATTTATATTCTATGAAACTTTGAAATTAAATAAAAATTATTTACATGCAGCATATAAAATTTTTGTTTTGATAATATTAGGTAAGTCGTCTTCTGCCGCATATACAATATTACGACATGGGAATATATTTCAGTATTTAGCTTGCTTGAAAATATTTTAAAGAAAACTTGGAAGATATTTCGGTATATTATCTCTAGTCTCATCTTTTTGGAGTTTATTTAAATTACAAATACTGTTGCAGTGAACTGCATTGCGCTTAATAAAAACAAATAAATGTTGCTCTTTATAAACTAACCTTAAATAAGTTGCATTCTAAAATTGGAGAAAAATTACACTTTAATTTATTAAACATTTTAATTGGCATTGCCATTATAAGAAATTAAAAATAAATATAAAAATAATTAAAAAAATACAGCAAAGTTAAAAACAGATAGTATGTTTTATTAAGCAAGCAACGGTGTAGTGGCCGTGTAGGAATATCTACTACCCCATATAGTCCCGTGGATATCGTAAGAGGCGACAAAAGGAAACTGAAATAGGAGATGGGCAGCAGTATACGTGGTAGAGCGATGCTGCAGCTATATTAGTGGTATAGTTGTAGCACGAATGGGACGGCTTGACTGGGGAAGGACCATGCTCTCACAGAATACCAGCGTTAAATAGCAGCTTAACACTGCTGTGTTTCGTATGGTGAGTATAGAGAACCGGAGACCCTTTTTACTGGAAACGAGGCATTCCATGTTAGTTCTCACGGATGACAACGCATAATATGCATTTTGATTCTTTATCGAAGATAGATGTAGATGTCTATGGGTCACAGCAACCGCTTACCATCAGGTGGGCTGTGTGCTCGTTTGTCACCCTATCCTATAAAAAAAAGTATCTTCCTGAAACAACTCCAAATGATAAAAAGAGGTAATCTATCGGGCCTATGTTTACCATCCAGGTAATTTGCGCATCATTTAAAAGTAATACAAAATGTTTATAATCATTTCGAAGAAATGGTGATTTAATAGGTGATATGTTTCCTTAAATGTTCTGCTGCTGTCTCACTTAATTTTCTTTTATTTGGCTATGTAGCGACGGCGTAAGAGAATCGACTACCTCATGTAATCCCGTGGGAGTCGCGAGAGGCCTTAGAGGGAAATGAAATCAGAAGATGGGCAACAACATGTTATCTATAAAAACCAAAATAATTAAAAAAAACTTCGGTTACCAACCCGCAATGTAATTGACAACTATTGCAAACAACTCCCTATGGTGCAGTCAAGGGGTAGGCTAAATTCAGCAGTGAAATTTTGATAAATTTTAACGATATCAATAAATCCTAAAAGTCAACCTGGTTTAATGAGAGTATGCCTTTATATAATTGTGTGATAACTTCACCGTTTGTATTTCTTGTATTATATTTCACTTTTATGAGCTCGTTCCGCAAAAGACAACAACAATTCACTTCAAATGAGATTATTGGAGCAATTTTAATAATTTTGTTGAGAATAAGCAATAGTACACTTATTTATTACCTTCATTGTACTATTGATCAAGGACATCGTTTTTATTGTTCCGTACCTAAAGTGTTTACGTGGTAGAGCCATGCTGCAGCTATATTAGTAGTATATTTGTAGCACGAATGGGTCGGCTCGACCGGGGAAGGACCAAGCTCTCACAGAAAACCAGCGTAAAACAGCAGCTTAACGCTGATGTGTATCGTATGGTGAGTATAGAGAACCGGAGACCCTTTTTACTGGAAACGAGGCATTCCATCTTAGTCCTCACGGGTGACAACGCATCTGCATCTTGAGACTTTATTGAGGATAGATGTGTCTATGGCTCACTGTAGCCACTTACCATCAGGTGGACTATGTGCTCGTTTGTCACCCTTGTCCTATAAAAAAAAACTAACGAGACACTACTAAGCCTCCGCTGTCCGTACGTCTGTCGCTACTACTATGCTGTCAGCGGGCTGTATATCATGATCGGTATTAGGTAGACAGTTGAAATATTCACAGAATGTGTATTTCTGTTGCCACTATAACAAGAAATAATAAAAATTAAAATAAATTAAGAATTAAAGGGAGCTCCCCCACTAGAAACGTGTTTTACAATAAGAGGTGCGGAACCCTTCATGCGGGACTCCGACTCGCACTTAGTCGGATATTTAAATCCGTTATCCTTCGAATCTCCGAATTCTATTTTGAATTACTCCTTCACTGTACATGTTATTTTGCCTGGAAGGGCCCCAAAGACGTATTAAAAAAGATAGATAGGTTACACACAAACATTATTGTATTTTAAAGTGGCGCAGGTAGTACTATATGTACGTACAGTTATTTATTATGACACGTTGCGCTAACAAAAAGAAACAAATGATAAGGCATACCTTTCGTTAGGAAAAGATGAATATACATCATTAGTTGCGTATTGATTACGACCGAGCGCTCATCGGCACGGAAATCGACATGGAAAATGACACACTAGCTAGCGTCGAAGTTTACCCTAGCGGTTAGTGTTGAAATAAAACCAATTATGAACAAAACATCTTTTTTTTTATATAGGATAAGGGTGACAAACGAGCACACAGTCCACCTGATGGTAAGTGGTTGCTGCGGCCCATAGACGACATCTACATCTATCCTCTGTTACAAATCAAAATGTAGATACGTTGTCACCCGTGAGGACTAAGATGGAATGCCTCATTTCCAGTAAAAAGGGCCTCCGGCCACCTGCACTCACCAAGCGAAACGCAGAGGTAAACCTCTACTTCACGCTGGTTTTCTGTGAGGTCGTGGTACTACCCCGATTCGAGCCGGCCCATCCGTGCGACAGCAAAAGCTGCCGCGTTGCTCTACCACTGTTAAAAATATCTATATTCAAACTATTAATGAGACGTTTTTCGTGTCTCTAACAGTTACCGTGTAATTTGTGCACCACCTAAAAACATAGGAAGGCATTTTTTCCACGAATAACTAGAAGATTTACGCGCTGTAGCGAATGTATAGCCGCGACGCAAGAGCGTGCGCGACTGAATGCCAGTCGGGCAATTACCTGACTTTCGTATTGCCATTTTAGAGCGAGTATGACGTATCTATACTTTTAAAAACATCTAAAGCTAGGGTCCCACGGCCTGCCAGGCGACAGGCCGCGCCAGGCGTTGTCCCGCCTGTATGGGCCTGTCGCGGCCCGTGCTGAGCGTTCCCACGTCGTGTGCCGGCCTGGTGCGGCCTGTCGACTGACATTCCAACATGTTAAGTGATACGGAGCGCATGGCTGCGTGTGCAGCTGCTGTGGTTTTATTCAGTGATGAACGTTTGATAAACCAAGCTTTTTCTTTTTTAACTCCGTGATAGGGATAGTTCCATCTTTAAAATTAGTTTTTATGCGTAACTACGCATCATGGACATCATTCTTGTTTTTATGTTGAGGCGACGTACTATTCCAAAGCGCTGGTTCATTTTCATAAAGAGTTAAAAACTCGAATATAAGCTCGTTCGTCCATTCCATCATGAGCATGTACGCGCAAGCGCCACCGCAGTTGAAATGAACGATTGCAACCGACGCAAACGCGCCCGTACAGGCCGCGACAGGCGCCGTCGCGCCGCGCCTTTGATCTTACCGACTCCCGATGGATCGGACGGGCGCCAACAGGCCACCACAGGCCTCATCGGATGCGATGGTTCCCATGGCCTGTTGTCCGGCCTGGCGCGGTCTGACCTGTGACAAAACAGGCCGTGGGACCCTAGCTTTAGATGAGCTCTTCAAGATGTAACAAAACATTTGATTAAGACACTCTATTAAGAGAGATGCTTAAGATCATTAGTTAAACAATAATTTTATATACAAGTGATCAACTCTCGGCGACATCAATGAATTGCTATTTTAAGTGATGATTTACTACGTGCTCGGCGTTAAAGGAAATAATCGTTAGAACATCACAAAAATCGCATGTCAAAGGAATACATACATATTTAGTGGTCATATGAAGTTCTCCAACATGCGCTGTAATAGCCCGGCGAGTTAATCAACTTCTTATCAGTTCGTGGAGTAAATCGAACAATAACTAAACGTAGTGATTTATTTTATTTTATTTTCTTCCACTATAAATTGCAAATTTAGAACAAGCGTTTAGCTCGTGAGTAGTCACGGCTATATTATAGTTTAATAGATTGAAAAAATTATCTATTTCTTTATTTTCAGATTACAATGAAGAAACGTGATATTGTGATAATTTCAATTTTGAGCTGCGCTGCTCTTGCTGTCCTTTTCTCTATCGCCGCGTACCTGTATATACGTAGGCGAAGACGAAAGAGAGAGGATGATGAAGATGGAACCAGTTGCGCCATACGGTAAGTACTTTTTCTAATAAAACTATTTAACTATTAGTGTACTAGGGTTCGCCGACAGAGAAAAAGAATAAATAAGTATTTAAAAATTATGAAAATAACATAAAGACCCTCACGTATTAACCGTTGATTATCGATTACATAAATTATATATTAAACATTGCTATATCTGTCTCTTTCTATTGCTATTTTATGAAAAGAGAAAGAGTAACTTTATGATTTCTTAAATTTACGTTGATTTCATGAGTATTTTAATTTCATAGCGACGGAAGCTAAACAGTTCGATTAGCAGTCATGCATTGGGACTTGGTCGAACGTACAATCCGCGAAAAATGATGAACAGACGCGATTGACTATCATTATTCGTGGGAAGTGGTGAGCTATGATGCGTAGATTCTTACATTAAAATTAAAAAAAAATATATTTAAAACGAACAGCCGCTTATTACACACATTGCTAGTAATAAGCATTATTGTAATGTGTGGTTCAAAGAAAAAAAAATCTATTTTTTATCTTTCTTCTAACTAATTGCTATTTTGCTGTCACCTATTATTTATTTGCCTCGGGATATTACTATTTGGCATTTTGAAGGAAAAAAATCTAAAGATAATTTTTTACTAAATAATTGCTGAACGCTGATACTCTACGCTGACTGCCGAAAGTTATTTTGTATCACAAACCTGTATCGTTTTGTAAGAGATTTGCTCTTTTGTACAGCGCTATATACTCGGTCATATATTTCATTTTCTGTTTTTTATCTTTATTATTTGACATATTGATAAGAGCCGTGGTAGCTCAGATGGTTAGCGCTCGCTGTAAGCTTCACAATACTCGAGTAACCCGGGTTCGATCCCCGCCGACACCAATGAAATTGTTAATTGCAATTTTAAGTGCTGATTTATCACGTGCTCGGCGATGAAGGAAAATATCGCAAGGAAACCTGCATGTCTGAGAAATAAGAAAAAAAATATTTCGAAGACATGTGAAGTTCGCCAACACGCATTGCGGCAGCGCGGCGGACATTTCCTTGTCCTAAAACCCTCTCAGAAATGAGAGGAGGCCTGTGCCCAGCAGTGGGACGTACGAGTAAATAGGCTGCAACGTTACTTTACTTTTACTTTTACATTGGTACTTCCTTTCCTTAACATTAATTGATACACTGATTAGATTGGTCCTACTATATAATTGGTAAACTATAATCGTTCGGCTCGTTCGAAAAACTCGACGACATTAAACCTGTGGAACAGGCTGGATTTCGGGGAGGATTTGCTACTATGGGCTACATTCACACAGCGCGACAAATAATACAGAAGATAATAAGCCTCTGTATCTTGCATTTGTGGATTATGAGAAAGCCTGTGAAGAACATGGGCTGTTTTAGATTCTTCACAGTGGTGCCAAATTGACTGGCGGTATATACATCTATACATATATACATCATATATACAGGGCAGTCAAAGAAAATCAGTCCAGTTGTATCTGTTGAGTCACTCAGGGGGATTTTATATCCCCTAAATTGTTTTAATGGAAGATGTTTTTAAGACTATAGATCGAAAAGGATGCACCGTTAACGTGGTGAGTACATCTCACACTTTCGCTTTGCTGATGATATCATCGTTATGGCAGAATCGCTGTAAGAACTATCGATATACGATCCTATAAAAAAAGACCTTCAAGGCATGCTAAGCAGACTGAATGATTCCCCCTAACGTGTTGGTCTATGTATGAATCTGAACAAGACGAAACTTACGTTAAACGGTCACATCATGCCTGTTTCAATTACTGTTGATTTTGAGATTCTCGAAGTTCGCTAAGAATTTAGCTACTTCGGGCAAATATTGCAACTGGATAAAAATAGCTTCGAGAAGGAAGCCGATCGGAGGATTCGGTTAGGTTGGGCAGAATGAAGGAAGCTCTGTCGGGTTTTCTCGTCGCCCATACTACAAATTCTAAAAACAAATATTTTTAAGTAGTGAGTTCTACCCGTACTCACTTATGGTGTCAAAATGTGAACACTAACGATACGGCTACTCCATAACTTCAAAATTCCTCAGCGAGCGATGGAAAGAGTTATGATGAGATAAGAAGAAATCTGCAGGAGAACCAAGATTACTGACATAGCCTTCCGTGTTTGTAAATTGTAGTGGCAATGGGCTGATTATGTCTGTCGCAGAAGTGACAACTGGTGGAGTAGACATGTAAGGGAGTGAAGGCCGCGTCTAAGTAAACGTAGTATAGGACTGACTAGATGGGGCGGCGGACTGCTCAAGGAGGCTGGTGGAAACTCGATACGTGTAGCCGAAGACCTGGCTAAGTGGCGCGTCTTGTGAGAGACTTTTGTCAAGTAGTGGATAGCTGCATGCTGATGATGAATCGTGTGGCCTGTGTCGCAAATATCAACACTCAATATATGACAGATGCGGTTGTGTCGCAAGGTTCGATTAAGTATTCATCGTAACTTTGACATGACTTTTGTCGTGCGGACCCCTCTGCGATCAATCAATTCATGACCAAACCTGTTGCATACGACTGAAGTCCGTGAGATGATCTGTACGAACATGGTTGTGTGAATGGCCTCCTTTAGGTCCTGAATATATTACCAGATATTGATATTTATTCATTATTCAAATAGAACAGACAGTTTGAGGGTTCAAAGAGTATTTGATATTTCCTAATGATTTATTAAAGGGAGTTATTGAATATGTTAATAGCTGCCTTTAGTTTTGGTTACCTAATAATTATCTAGATAAGCCAGTCTAAGTACAGGGTACAGGCAAGTGTTTTCCAAAATTAGTTCTGTTAATAATTATTATCGAAATGAAAACATATGATTTGTTTGTCATGTTCATGTTAACATTGAAAAACGCAAATAGCATATTATACATATATACAAACTTGTACATGCTTATATTATTATGGTGAGTGATGCTACTTTGTATCTCTACAAACGAATAAAAGATAGAGAGCAATACCATCAGTGATCTAGGCTATATTTCATTTCAAAAATATGGTGAGTTATGATTTTCTTATAAACTAACATCATCATCATTACAGCCCTTCACAAGTCCACTGCTGAACATAGGCCTCCCCCAAGGAATGCCACAAAGCACGGTCCTGAGCCACCTGCATCCATCAACTTCCTGCATGTCTCACCAGGTCGTCACTCCGCAGTGGGGGGTCGCCCTACACTTCGTCTACCGGTACGAGGCTGCCACTCGAGAACCTTTCTTCCCCATCGGTTATCGGTTCTTCGAGCTATATGGCCGGCCTACTGCCACTTCAGCTTAATAATCCGTAATTACTAAACTATACGAGTTAAAAAAGTTTTTGACAAAACTTTTTGGTTTGCAACTTACACGAAGAAAACTTGTACTATTTTTTTATTGTTTTAATGCAAAATAACGATTTTGATATTTTTTTTCATTTTAACGCTATTTTACAACAGAGCTATATATAATAAGGGATTAGGTGATAAGATATCTTTTTCGTTAAAATAATAAATCTGCAATTATTTTAAATATTTTTTTATATTGCGCATTTTGTGATTAAAACATGAAATCTGAGTCTGAGTTTAAAGTGGTTTTCCGATAACTGAACTACTTGTCCAAAGACCACTATTTTAGATCTTCAAGGAAATCACGGGTAAAAGTTAATCACTAAAATCCATTGAAATAAATATTTAATGCTTACTCTCGCAAATGCAGAATATATCTGCTATTTATAGCGTAGTGACATTTTCGCTCATGCATTATTAAGCGTTTTCTACTTTTATACGTAATATGAACCGCCGATTTGTGTGTTCTGTGTAGAATAGTACAAAATTATAACTGCTTCCGTGGTCAAATAATATTGACGTGTTTCATTTATGTCGGTAAATGCAGAATATGTATGAAAATTGTTTTTCTTTTCTTATACCCATTGCAAAACAGCCATTGTTACTTACACACAGTTAGTTACACAGTAGGCTGTTACGAGCTTGGGGTTCAAGACAATTAAAAACTGCCGATTGAATTACCAAAATTGACACTTTAATTACAGAACACTAATTACAAATTAAAACCACACTAATAATAAAAGACAATTGTAATACTGATCACTTTAGTTCGCAGTTATTTCCCTTCGAAGTATTCTCTTGTATCGCCAATTCAAAACTGACTCGGTCGCGGCCTATACCGGCCTTATATAGGGCCTCAGGTAGTTTTCAGAACCTTCTACTAGAGAAACATCTAGAATGTTCGAGTACATACTGGTCCCGATATTTCTAGAAGGATCTTGACTCTCCTAGTTCTGCTACTCGATACTAGAGGGCGCTAGTGGTAACTAGTGTTGCCATGTACAATACATTAATAGTTGTAGTGTTATGCTACTCACGTATCATTTTACATTATTTTAAATTCATTTTTCCATTCTGTTTCGATTTTCTGCATTCACCTCAAAACTGGATATTTTACATCACCTTTATTTCCATAGGATCCTGTAACGATTTTAAACCATAAGAACACAATAACAAATCATTTCTACTTCGTATTTTCACATTATCAGCACTTTTAAATTGGTGTCAATGGAGTCTACCTTTTTTCGATCTTTTAGCTAGTTTTCCGTAATTCTACAATCTTGGACTTTGTGTGGGCAGTTGCGCTACCTTTTTTCCTATATCAATAATATCTCATTTTCCACTTAAATCTTATAGTTTTCTTATTATAAACCTAAAACCAAAATTTGACATGTTTTGATATTATTATTTATTTCGTTGCTATAGTTATATTCAAATTTGCTACCGATCTGTTGTTCTGATTTCGATAATTCCACATAAAAACTCTTTTCTCTTGACCATTTACAAAAAATTTGCGTTTAATTTAAATAATTTTTCCGTTCTCTCTAGAAAGGTATAAAAGCCGAACAATCGGTGAAGAAAGGCAGTCTCGCTTCAGTTCGCGAATTGGAAGTATCTCCTAAAGGCCTTATCCCGGGGCCGCACTGCCCCGGGATCCTGCAAGCCTCCA